ATATATGTTTTTAGAGAATTTTAATCATCATACATGTAAAGCCTTATTGACTTTTACGGTAATACGATTATCCTAAATATCTGCGGAGATTCAAGATCCTCACACCATAAAGGATTAAATATTATATATTTTATTAATAATATTTTAATATGTAATTATATAATTTTCATTTTTAAATATAGCAATCTTAATCGCTATACCTGCGAAGTCATATTGACTTTTAGAGGTCTATAGACATTTAAAAATATCATATGCTCAAATGATATAATTGGTAAATATAATTATGATCTAAATTCATTAATTTAATTAATTAAAATTATAAATTTTTTTATTTATTTACAAAATTCATCTATTTATTTACCATATAAATTGTGAATCATGATATATCTGTGGATTTATTATCCTATACAATAAGGTGATTAATTTTAAGTCTCTATGAAGATTCTTAAAATCTCTCACGAAACTTAAATATTTAGTATAAAAAAAAGAACTGATTTCAATAATGGGCAATATATACAAATTAATAATCGTGACATCTGCGATAACAAGCAAGAAGAAATTATGCAAGGCATATAAAAGAAGAAATCAGAACACTGCAATATGATAAACGTAAATAGTCACAATGAAAATTATGACTATAACAAAATAAAACTCTAGGGCCACAAGTAGTAAAAACTATCGGTGCAATTATAATCGTTTATCACAATCAATGGGACATAAAATAAATTAACAATTGCAGAGACAGTGAAGTTGGAAATAATAATTTGTGACCCAGAATCATGAAGTGCATTATTTGAGAACTTCAAAATAAAATGGCACCAAGAAACCATTAATCTAAACCACCATGAATAATCAATCACAGTTCATTAAACCATGAAATTAACACGAAGCCACTTTCAATTTTCATATTCAATTTCTAAAGTAAAAGTGAAATAATAACAAGTTTTTGGATCCTACTCTGTTTATCCTCCGTTTTTGGATCCCTCCCCGTAGCTTTCTTTACTCTGCTCAATCCTCCTTCTCGTGACTGGCGCAGAGAAGAGTGTGTCTTCTTTTTCGTCTGCTCCTCCTCCCTTTTTATGCTTCCTTTATTCCTCAGTTTTTGCTCTACATGGTGCTGTTTCCTTTTTTTCTGCTAGCTGAAAGTGTGTACGTATGTTGGTTGCTTGCTGCTCCTTCTGCTTTGTTTTGCTGTGCATGCATGCGTCTGGCTCAAAGTGTTTTCGTGTCTGTGTGGCTATGTGTTTACGTGCTTCCTTTTGCTTTCTTTCTCTGCTGCGTGTGGGCTTTGCTTCTTTTTTTTTTTTTGGTGTGTTTCATGTGTGATCTGTGCATGCTTGGTTCTTCTAGCTTTTCCTTTTCCTTCTCCTGTCTACATCTAACCGAGTGGAGAGATCTTGGAAGGTTGAGATTCAATCCCCTTTTTTTTATTTTGTTAAATTATTATATTTTTAAAATATAATCCGAAAAAAGGATTAAATTTTATTTTTATATTTTTTGGTTATTTTTGAATAAATTAAAAAAAAAGATCCTAGCTAATAAAGATTATCTAGAAAAGTTAAATTCTGTTAATTTTTTTTTTAAAATATAATCCTCAAAAGGATTAAATTTTATTTTTATATTTTTATATTTTGATTATTTATTATTAAATAAAAAAATGCCGGACAAAATACGGTGTTCACAGTTGCAATTCTAAAAGAAAATTAGATCAGTCAAAAATAGGCTGTTCTCTCATTATTGGTGGCTTTAGAAAAATATTATAAAAGAAACCCAAAAAAAGAGAGAGAAATTTTAAAATGGTGAGAAAGACGTTATAAAGAAGTCATGTTGTTCTCTTCTCTTTAATTTGTGTCCTATACGTACATGTGTGAAGAGCACCAGATGATGAGTTCTTAAATTTCCACCATGTCTCTCTCGATTTTTTTTCTTTTCTTACGCAAAAGGCAAGCAAAAGCTTCACTAATAGTTAACAGACCTAATAAGGTTCAATCCTGGGTTAATACAAACATCAGGAAATTCATTAAAAATGATAAGGTATTCCTCCTCTAAGTGAACTGTCTTGGCCAGAAAGTTGGCGACCTGCAGACATTCCCTACTAGCATAGTGCAAAGTAACATCCCGAGCTTCACACACAAGTATTCACGTGTTTCGAATATCTGTCTCAAAAGGATGATATATTAGATTATCCCTCCCAATAAGATTCAGTGCATCCAAGGAATCAGTAAGCACTTGGATTTTATCAAGACCTCGTTGCATACATATCTGTAACCCTGTCTAAATACCCAGCATCTCTAAATCCCAGAACCCAGTTGCCTTGAGAATCTCGAACAGTACCTCCACACGCTACATGTCCACTAGCTATAACAGAGCCATCTACATCTACATTGAGCCGGAGATTCCTTGAGGTAGGGGCTTCCAATTCCTGTTACTCGTCTTGTTGGGTATTGAGATGATGCTCTCATGCAGCCTCATGGTTGAGCTGGCTCCCTCGCTTGCCACCTTCAGTTTCTCCTGGTTCTCTCACGATCCAGGGGCGAACCCACGTATAACCTAAGGGGGCCATGGCCCAACCCGACTTCTCCCACTTTAACAACATATACAAGGGAGTATATCGTCATGGCTATGGAGTTTTGGCCCCCCTCCCAATAAAAAAACTCCATACCCCATAACCATACACACACATGCATGCATAAATATATGTATGTATCTTATTTTGTTAGTATATTAAATAGATACTCTTTCATTTATAATATTGGACATTTTTTAGAAGCTTTATTTGGTCTAAAATATAGAATATTAGGTAGTTTTAATAAATTTTTTAACTATACTTTTATTTTATTTGTTATTTCTTTTGAAAAAGTAATACATTAGGATTTCAATTTTCATTATTAAGATATTTATATAAGACATTTAATAAGGATACAATCAAAAAGATAAGGAAAAAATAATCATCGGTCCCTATAGTTTTATCAAATTTTGCTTCTAGTCTTTATAATTTTTTTAGTGTTGTCAATTTCTAGGATTTCAATAAGATTGGGTGTTGTTTAATTTGTTCCTTAGCTCCTCATAGTTTCAGTGTTTTCAATCCTTAAAATGCTGAAACTAATAAGGACTGAAACTATGGGGAACTAAAGAACAAACATCACCCAATCTTACTAAAATTGTAAAAATTAAAAATATTAAAAAATTATAAGGACTAAAAACAAAATTTAATCAAAATATAAGGACAAATGATTGTATTTTCCTAAAAGATATATAGATTTTTAAATTGTTGTCTTCAACTAGCTTTTTTTTTTTGGTACCATCAAATAGTTATCAATACCCTACATTTTAGGTTGGAGTTAGCAAGTATAAAATACTCTCTCCGATAAAAAATATTAGGTATTTTTTTAAAAATTAAATATTCAAAAATGTTAGGAATTTTTAGTCTTTCAAAACATAATTATTATTTTTTTTACAAAAGTGCTTCTATTAATAATGACTTTATATTTATTGTAGGGTATTTAATAGAGATAAATATAAAAAGATAGGATTAATTTGAAAGCAGGTAACTAATTTATTGGAGGATGAGATTCGGTTAAAAATGTCTTACATTTTTTAACAGAGAAAGTAAGTTTTTAAATAAAATATTTATTTTTTTCATTATTTAAATTGCATATATTATTATTGATTAATATTTAAACACATGATTTTACTATAACTATTTTTATTTTTAATTTTTTATAATCATATATAATTATCGTATGATTTTTATAGTTAATAAGATTATCTTTCAAAAATTTTAAAAAATTTAAGACAACAAACATTATTTTTATAAATTTGGTCCCCTCCATTCACATGCTGGTTCCGCCCTTGTCTCTATCTTTATGTCTTTTACTGCACTCTCTCTATAAATATTATTATATAATTATATACACTCACTCCGATTTAAGGAATTTTTATTTTTAAAAATTTTATAAAAAAAAATTTATTTTTTCCAGTTTTTCCCTTATCCGCAATTAACACCCATAATTTTTCATGCATAGTTACTCATCCCACATTAACTAATAATATAGGGATAAAAATGGAAGCACATTTCTTAAAACTACAAAACGTTCTACATTACATTATGGACTTAAAAAGTGTGTGTAATTGAGTGTCGGGGTTTCTTTAATTAGTATGAATAATGTAATGTTGCTTTCCAATCTTGGATATTTTTATGATCGAAACCATGCATGATTTAATTAATTAAAACATTTGAGTTTTAAGAAATATTTCATTGCTAGATCTTTATTGAATATTGATTACTGGAGGCAATATTCTGACTCTCAAATTAACTAATGAAAGTTAAGAATGGGAAAAATAAATTACTTAATGCTTGAAACATTCCTGTGTAAAATTTATGAGTTGAATCAAGAGAACCCTCTCTTAGGTGACCCTCATTCAAAATAAGAGGGGATGATATTTACTACATGCTTAGTACACAAAAAACTATTTTAAAAAAAATGAAAAATGTATCTAAAAAAAATTGAAATGGATTTATGTTCAATTTTCTTCATAAAAATATTTTTCTATCTACGAATATTGTATTAATAAGTCCTATAAACACCTAAAATTATTTATTCTTCTCTTATGTGGATTTTAGGCCCATATTTTTTTTTTTTTGCAGAATTTGGAATTAGTCGAATTGTTCATCGTTATGCAGAAAGTGTAGCCTCGTACAGGATTTAGATGCATGCATGATATATAGATCTGAAATGACCCTTCTTTTTATATTTGCGCAGGCATATAATTTAAATTAATTAAATTGATCTTCAAGTTGAGAAGACTGTACGTGGTGTTTGTGCGTGTGTGTGTGTGTGGTTTTTTTTTTTTTTTTTTGGCATTATCACTAAGGAAGCCTAATGTCTTGTTTATACTTTCATCTCCCAGCAGCAACCTCAGATGGAACAAATGCAAAGGACAAAGTTCAGAGTAGACCTAACAATGATGTATAACATGTCATCCTTCCATTTCTTGTATCTCCAATAGATCTAATTAATTCTAATATATAACAATTATTATAATTGTATGTATGTATGTGAATAAGATACGATGCTTGTCTGATTTAAAGAAGCCTATGTAGTGAAATAATTGGGAGATTCTCATTTGTTGAAGGACTTCGATATATTGAATCAAACGTTGCTGCAGCTCATGATGGCAAACAACTTTCTCCAATTGGATTTGATATTATCTTTTCTCATTTAATTGATCAAACCAGAAGAGAATTTCACCCAAAACAGGGAATTGGAACTCCAAAGTACCATTGTTTTTCCTTTCTCACCTTCATACACATAGCATATGTCTCAATTCCTGCAGAGTGTCATGCGTGGCCGAAATATATCAATTCTTTCGCAAAACCTTGGACAATAAAACTATTCCAAGGGCATAAAGATTCAAATGTATCTATCTTTTTTTTTTTAAATCCCATTTTACAAATGTCTTTTGATTCAATTTAAGAATATGAAAGAAAAGCATATATGTACACACACTTGAGGTCTTTTATATATTGTAACTGTAGTGGTTAGGTAAGCAAATTAGAAGGATGGAAAGAATATGCAGCATACATTTCAGAAGGACTTGCTTTGACAAGAAGTCACTTATTAATTTACAAGTTTAAGAATATGAAAGAATTTGGTTGTAAGAAAAGACAATTGCATATCATATTTCAATAAGTAAACATTCATTAATTAACAAGTATTCATTTATGTTTAATAGGAAGTTATTCGCTAATTAACAAATTCAATATAATATGAAAGAACTTGATTGTGGAAAGGGACAAGTATAGATCATGTTTTAATAAGTACTTATTCAATAATTAACAAATATTTATTTGTATTGAACAAGAAACCATTCGCTAATTGAAAAATTTAAAAATTTGAAACAACTTGATTGTGAGAAGGGACAAGTGTAGATTATGTTTTGATAAATAATCATTCATTAATTAATAAGTACCTAGTCACATTTAATAAAAAAACTATTTGTTAGTTGACAAGTTAAAAAAAAAAGAAACAAGAAAAGAAAAACAAGGGTATTATAGTCTTTTTCCATTTAAAATTATTTTTAAATCATTCTCCTTGCATTGATATTTCAATATCTTTTAATCATTGACTGATATTAAAATATCCTAGTGGTGCTTGAATGATATTTTCACTACTTATGATGATGATGATGATGATGATTATGACAATATATTCACTAGAATATATGATAAGATTTGAGTCAGATACTGCATTATAAGGAGTGAATTGAATATGCAAAGGAATGAAAAAAAAAAAACAACGAATGGAAGATGCACTATTGGCCTAAAGTAGAAAAACACGCCATACTCTTCCACACTTTTGCCCCTACCACACTCAATGGCAGCAGTAGTGTAACACACTTGTCACACTTGGAAAAATGCGACACGGACGGCGCATGAGCAGAGGTTCTAGCTTTCGCGACGGGAACCGAACAGAATAAGGAGTCGTCATCAAGATTTTGAGGAAAATCTCAGAAAACCATTTAAAAGGAGGATAAGGATGGTCTGCGAAAATAGAAAATAGGTTCGGGAGCTGGTTGAATGTTGGGAAGGTATTAGGCACCCCACAACACCCGTTCGTCAGAACGGTTACCTGAAGTGAGAAATATTAATATGGTTTTAAAATTATTTTAATTATCCCTTTTATGTTCATGTGTTTGATATAAAAATAATAAGAATTAAGTAAGAAATATTTATTTATTTACGAGGGAGGACTTAACTCAGAATCTAACTCTGAGGCCTACGTATCCTGTGATGGGGATCAAAGTCCACTAGTTCGGGCTTAAAAGCTTGTTGGTGAAAATATTTTTGAAGAAAAATTAATTAGAAATAATTTACCATTTTGCAAATAAAATAATTTCTGAAATTTTGATATATGTGTTTTAAATGGAAAAAAGTAATTTAATTTTAATTATTTTCTTAATTTTTGAATTTTTGGAATAAAGAAAGACAAGAGTTTTAAATTATTATTTTTTATGTTTTATGTTTGGAAATTTTAACTGCTATACCTACAGAGTCTTATTGGTTTATATAATAATGTAATTATTCTAAATATCTGCAGAGATTCTAAAATCTCAAATGATAAAAGAATTTAGTAACTTAAGATATTTTTTAAGCATATGTATATGTTTTTAAAGAATCTTAATCGTCATACCTGCAAAGCCTTATTGATTTATATGGTAATATGATTATCTTAAATATCCGCAGAGATTTCAAAATATCACACCATAAAGGAATTTAATTTATTTAAATACATCCTTAATTTGATTAATTTAATATATAATTTATATATATATATATATATATTTTAAAACTTAATCATTATATCTGTAAAGTCTTATTGACTCATACGATAATACGATTATCTTAGGAGTCTACAGAAATTTAAAAATCTCACATAACTAAAAGATATAATTAATAAATATGATTATAATTTAAATACATTAATTTGATTAATTAATTTTCTAAATTGTGTATTACTTGATTATTTTCTAAAATCATTTATTTATTATAAAAATTGATAATCACTATATCTGTGAGGACTTATTATCCCCACAATGATGTGATTAATTTAAGTCTCTACGAAGATTCTTGAAATCTCATATGAGACTTAAATAAATTATTAATTTGGATTATAAAAGGAGAGTTAATTTTAACATATAAGTTTTGCTCTCGTATCTATGAAATCTTATTGATTTACACAACACGAAATTATCCTGAATATCTGCAGAGATTCAAAGTCTCACACAATAAAAGGATTAAATAATATTCACTTTGAATATATTTTAATGTGTAATTATATAACACATATTTTTTAATATAGAAATCCTAATCGTTATATCTACAAAGTCTTATTGACTCACGCAGTAGTACGATTATCTTAAAGGTCTATGGAGTTTCAAAAATCTCACATGATCAAAAGATATAATTGATAAATATAATTATAATTTAAATTCATTAATTTAATTAATTAAAATTATAAAAATGTTTTTATTTTATTTATAAAATTCATTTATTTATTTACCATATAAATTGTGAATCACGATATCTGTGAGGATTTACTATCCTACATGATAAGGCAATTAATTTAATTCTCTATGAAGATTCTTAAAATCTCACGTGAGATTTAAATATTTATTATAAAAAAATTAATTTTAATAATGGGTCTCTAGAACCCATATTAATATATACAACATTAGTTTTCATACCTATAAAATCTTATTGATTTACACAATAGAGGATCATTCTAAATGCCTATGGAGATTCTTAAAATCTCACACAAAAAATAGGTAATCAAGATATTTGCATTTGCAGGCAATGCATAATATGAATTTAACATTTAAAGGAATAGAGAAAGAAACTATTTTGACACTTCACCTCTTCTTTTAACTTAAGGATGTATTCTTTAAGGTTTTTTTAAAAAAAATTGGCCTAATGCTCAAATATGGTTTTTGAAAGGAAATAATGATAGTCGTAGTTATAGCATCTGACAATTAGAATAAACAGGATTCATATATCATCACCATCATTAATCACCTAATTTATTTCTCATGAAAATTAAAATCAAGTTGATGTCTTAAAATTATTTGTGCGTGAATAAACAATAGTCCCATATTAAACATATGCATGCTCTTAATTTTTTCAAAATAATATGATTATTTGAATGAATAAAGAAAGCATATGAAATTTTTGAAAGAACTACAAAATTTTAAACAAGAAAGAGCCAAATCAAAGCTATGACATAATTGTGCATGTAAAAGATAACTTATGAAGAATGGAACAAACTTATACCTGACATTGCATTAAGTAGCCTCCATGAAAGGTACTTGATAATGCGGTTGAAGCTTGAGTTGCTTCCATAACCTTCTCTATCACGAACTGCCCCAATATAAGAACTTCAAGAATCTTTCTCCCACCCTATGAAATCACGAAACGAGGTTTGATCCAACACCAATGAAAATGTAAGAAAGCCACAAAGCAAAGTTACGTTCCTCCTCTTCAACTGAAAGAAGTGATTTGTGATGAACTTCTACTTACAGATTTTGAAGAGTAAAAAGAACAGAATAACATTGTGATGACCAGATTTTACGTGAGAACGAGTCATCAACTCAGTTGGAACTCGGAAGCTCAACTCAGTTGGAACTCGGAAGCTGGAAGTGAGAGTATGTAGAAAAGATGATCAGTGGGTGCTGTCCAGTTTCTATTATTTCTCCGTCTAGTTTTCTCTCTTCTCTTCTCTTGGTCCTCTCTCTTTTTCTGTGTTGTTTCCTCTCTCTCCTCGTGTTCTTTCTTTCCTCCTCTTCTTGGTGCTCTATTTCTCGTGCTCCAGTTTCTTTTGTTCTCCCTCGGTCCTTTCTCGCTCTCTGTCTCCCGCTCAAACGCCCCCAGCTCTCTCTCTTTTTCCATTTTATTGTGCTCTCTTTTTCTACTTCACCGTCGAGTTTTTTTCTGCTATCTCCTTCTTCTCTTTCTGCTCTCTCTCCTTTCTCATCTGTGCTCTCTCTTTCCTCCATGCTGCGTCTATTTTCCTTCTTTTTCCGTCTCTTGCTGCTCTGTTTTTTCATTTTTGTCTAGTTTTTGTTCAGGCTTTCCTCTCTCGGTCTCGTGCTCTGTTTTTTGTTTTTTTTTTCGGTCTCTCCCTCTCCTCTTTTTCTGCTCTGTTTCTCATCCATTTTCACTTATGCTCTTTTTTCTTTCACTCTTTTCTTCCATTCTCACTTCCCATGTTCTTTTTTTTCTTTCACTCTTTTTCCGTTTTGAGTTCGGATCCCTCCTTTTGTGCTCTATTTTCGTGCTCTCTCTATAACGTGCCTCTGTTTCTTCTTTCAGTTCCTCTCCCCCGTCTCTTCTTTCTCGCTCTCTTCTTATGCTCTCCTTTTTTATTCTCTCTCTCTCTTCTTTTCTACTACCATCCGCATACGTGCATCTCCAGCTCTGTTTTTCTTTGCTTTTTCGTACGTGCATGCGCTTCTTTTTCTGCATACATCTCTGACTCCTTTTCTTTGCGTGTGTGCGTGCTATGTTTCTTCTCTTTTCTCTGCATGACCGAGCACTTTCACGTCTAATCTTTTCTGCGTTTGTCTCTAGTGTTTACACGCGTTTCTCTATGAAGCTTTTCTGCAGTCTGTGTTTTCGTGTGTGTGCTTTGGTTCTGCTTCTGTTCTCTCTTTGTTTGCTACATAACCGAAGCTTTGGCTCTGCCTTCATATCTTCTTTTTCTGCTCTTTGCTTCTGGCTAATCTTGTGTCTGTGCTCATTTTCTTTCTACGTTATTGCTCCGTGTGTATCAGCTGCACCTGAACCGCATAAGGCTTGTGATGAAACACTGATCCATCAACGTTTCATCCAGGCTTGTGATATATATATATATATATATATATGTATGTATGTATGTATGTATGTATGTATATAATGAAAAATAATATTTAAAGCGAGAAAAGTTAACTCTTAAAAGTTGACTCCCAATATTTTTGAATGATTGAGATAATTTGAGAGAGATTTTAAAAATTTAAGCAAGATTATTAATTTTTTTTGAAAATATAATCCTCAAAAAGATTAAATTTTATTTTTGTATTTTATTTTTTTGTTATTTTTAATGAACTAAAAGAAATAAGATCCTAAGCAACAAAAGATTATCTAGGTTAAAATAAAATTAAACCCTATTATTTTTTTTGAAAATATAATTCTAAAAAAGACTAAATTTTATTTTTATATTTTTATTTTTTTTTGGTTATTTATCATTATTTTTATTAAATTTTAAAAAATATTCGGATAAAATACAATGTTCACAACACTCTTTTCGTCCTGACCACACTTTTTGATGAATAGATCAAAGTTCTTGGAGGCCAAGCCCTGTCTATCCTCCTCTTTAATGGTGTGAGGAACCCTAGAGGGGACGTGCAGACACCAGCTTTGGAGGAGAAGATAATGAAGTTGGAGGGGAAGTCTGTTGGGGCTCCACGCGGGACTTGTGTTTCCAACACAGGAAGCGGAGGACTTGCTTGTGAGTTCAGCGATTAAAGTGAGTGCACTGACAGCCAATGACGGCGACAAACTAGTAGGGCTGCACAAAAGACTGGACGGCACTGGACTTCACCCTAACCCGAAGTCCGGTCTCTTTCATGAAAAAGACTGGGTTAGGCAACCCGTAGTCCAGTCTTGTCCAGTAATAACCCGAAGATTAACAGGACCGGACTTGGTCCATAGGACTGGGAGACTGGTCCTGTCAGTCCAGTACTCACTTAGCTTTTTTTCCCTCTTTTTATTCTATGAGAGGCAATAATCCATTCCAACATAATAAACTCAATTAAGATAGTAAAAATACTTATAATAATAATAAATCCATAATAATTTCTAACAATAAGAAAAAAAATTTTTTGTTATAGTCTAAATTATTTAAATTTATAAACTTTAATAAAAACAGTACTCAAAAAATTCAACAACACTATATTACAATAACAATTTAGAAACAAACTTAATAAATCTTTATGCAATCATCTCCTTAGCATCAATTACACTTTAAATATTTATCAAAAATAAATTAATTATAATTATAATAAAAAAAATTAATAGGACTGGACTGGACCAAGTGGTCCGGATGCCTGGTCTCTTGTCCAGTCCAACCCGAAAAAATAGTCTGGTCTTTTTAGTCCTTTTGGTCCTGAAGGACCAGTGACTATACAGACCGAACAAGACTGAGACCATCTCGGGTTGGACTGGACCAGACAGGACTGGGAGACTTTTGCACAGCCCTACGACAAAGTAAGTAGAGTGAATAATGTTTAATCATGCTTTATTTAGTCACTTTTTATGTGATGGGCCCAACAAAATTTGGCCCATTTCATGTGTCCACCTCCATGAAGCAAGCCAGGACAACCATCAACAATACAACCATTTTGTAACCCAATTTTTGGTTCCTCCGTGTTCAATTCTTATTATGCCTTTACTATATTATTCGTTTTGTTTCTTTTGTAATTTTGAATATATTTTACATTCAAAGTAAATTATTTTCTCTTTGAAAGTGAAACATATATTCTTCGTGATACAATATGAATATCTAAAATCACATACCTTTTTACTAATAAATAATGATGGGAAAAACTATATACCTTTTCTTTTCTTTTTGTGGCACCAATGAACTCATGTCATATTTGGGATATATTCAATGAGAGAATTTTTAAATCCCACAAGTGATCTATAAATTTAAGACGATGGGATTGTTAAGAACTATGTCTCTGATGTTGAGCACCTCATCAGGCATCTCCTTTGCATGAATCACATCCTCTTTTTTGTAAATCAAGTGAAGTGATCTGCTCATTTTCCAGTACACATCTTTCACTTCTCTTGACATTTTGCTTCCTTCTTCCTTCAACACTAATCTCAGCAGCTCCTTTCTCTTCTCCTCAATCTTCCTCTTTATCTTCTCCATGATCTCTTCTTCACTCTCTACCCCACACCCATGAATCAACCGCAAGCTTATTGAGTTGATAAATTTCCCTTGTTCTTTTTCCCTCTGCACGAACATCCACAATTTTATTCAATTATTACTGTGTCACAACTCACGGTAATAATTAAAAATAGTTAAGAGGAAGGAAAAGATTCACCACCTGGTATCCATTGATATCATTAAGATAACGCCCATAAAGACTAACAATCTCAAAGAGATTATTGTATTCATCACTTTCCACGACAGCTTGTGGAATCTTGGGTCCAAGAAGATACATTACAGGGATAATTATTGGTCCCAAGGCCATTGATATAATTCCATTATGCTCATATTCTTCTACACTTGGCACGCACCTGTTTCTGCACCATTCTGCTTCCTTCAACTCAGACCGCAGCAAATCTATTGTCTGATCAACAAACATGTAAATATATATATATATATACTGCATACTTCATTTAGGGTAATGATTGAATTAAGAAGACCAAGTTGAGACTTAGATAATTGTGATCTTACAATCTGAATCAAGTGGTTCAACACACTACGTCCTTGAACTTTATATGCTTGGGTTGCAGTCTCACAAATTGTTTTCTTAAGTGTTACGAATATTATCTTCACCGTGTCGGAGCAACTTTCTCTACTGACATCTACGTCCCACCTGAAGTTCAATGTTGAAAACATATAATCTCATATATATATATATAATGTGCAAAGAGAGAACATCATAAATGGGTTCATCATTGCAAAATATATACTTTTCCATCAACTGTATAAGGTTTATGTGTTCCTCTTCAGTGCCCCAAACGTCATAGAAATCATCGACCACACATCCAAGCAAGCTTTGTTTGGCCCATGCCAGACGTGCTTCGCGATGTTCAGGGGAGGTAAGTGTGGCAGCGACTGTCAAGAAGGAATAGGCAGCTTTTGTTTTTGAGATTGGAAAATGTAGTTTCTCCATTCCACTCTCCATAAACCACCTAATTGTTATCATTTACTTATCAGTGATTCACAAACTGGCATTGAACAATGTTTAAAGATGTAATAAACATTTTGGGTTCTTGAGAAAGATCCTAACTTGTTAAACAGATCGAGTTCTTCACGAAATAACAATTGGGAGTGATTGAAATCCTCTGCTCCCAATTCTGGGAATTCTTTGTTAGCGAGGTTCATAGAACTGAACAAAAAGAGCCATAATATATATACGAAGTCAATAAATTATACTAATTCAAGAAGCTCCCATAAAAAATGGAGCTAATTGTGGTCCATATTATAATGTATGTACCTATATGAAGATTTCAAAATTCTCTTTTGATCAACCTGGTAATGCTCTATAGATCTTCGGTTAACTATCAAATCCAAATAAGCATGATGAGGAAAACGCAGAGCTAAATGTACCTGAAATTAATATAGGAAATTATTTTTTAGGTCAATTGTCAAAAATAACTTAAAATTGTTGAAATTTGAAAAACAAAATTAAATTTGTGAGATTAAGATGTGCGTGTGGAAGCACCTCATTGTCAATACGATTAGAAGCTGGCTTATAAGTATTTCTTGAGGAAGTGGATAAATATTCCTCAAGAAAGTGTCCTGTCCAGAAGTTTAATTCTTCCAAAACTAAATCACTTGAATGCAATACTATATGTGAAGCTTTATGTAACTCCAAAACAGCCTCAACATCCTTTAAATAACCCTGAAGGGTATTGTAAAATTTGTCTTCTGAAAAGCGACCAAGTATGTCTGAAATAAACATATATGAGAGTTAGCCAATTATTTTATTATTGGGAGAATAACAGTAAAGTCTTAAAAGAATAAACTATTGATATTTAGGTTTTTAACAATTCTTTTTAAAAATGAATTATAAATATTGATTCAAATAATTGTAGAGATAAAAATCTCAATTGCAAATTGAGAGTTACATTTAGAATTTAAATGTTTTATTTATAACTAAAACTCTTGTGTAATTATTTAAATTGAAATTTGCAATTTATTTTTTAAAAAATTCATCAAAGATCTAACTATCATTAATTTCTTCTTTTAGATATTAACTGCCATTCTTTATTTATCATTTCATATACACATAATTTTATTTTTTATTAAAAAAAGACACAAACCTGAAGAAACATCATATCCTTGCAAACGTAGTAAACGAAAGGCCAAGGCACATGTTGTGGGTTCTAAAAATATATCATCTTCCTGTTGCCACAATCTATTTCAAAATCAAAATTGAAAAACAGATTAAATTCTGCAACCCATTTTCTTATTTTCCCACAGTAAAAAAAAATTCAATTTCAAGCCTTTCACTCACAGAAAGAAAAAATATGAATAGTTAAACTTACCTCCATGTCTCGTCCAATACACTTTGGATTTCCTCCTTAAAATGGCGATTAATCCCCAATTTTTCGAGACTATCAACCACAAGGAGTCGAGCATACACATCAAAAGGATGTACTGTTGGAACTGAAAAAGTTATAAATTTTTGTATAAACACAACAAATATATCAGTCTTAAAAATTGTTATGCATAAGAAATCATGTCCATCAAAGGTTTAAAATTACCAGCATCCCCAAATTTATCTGAGAGAGATAGTAGATAATCGAGACCCTGGGTATTGTTAATGTGAATAAAAGCTGCTGCTGTAGTGGCTGGTGAGTTAAATAAAGATCCATTCTTTCTCTGAAATTTCATAGCCATTTCCCAATTCTGGGACTTCCCAAGTCCTTCTGAAATGTATGCTACATATGCTTTCCATCCTTCTGATTTGCTTCCCCACCCACTACAATTACAAGTGTATATATGCTTATCTTTCAGATTTTTAAATTGAATCAAAAGAAATTTGTAAAATGGGATGAAAAAAGATAGACACATTTTTTAATCTCTTTATGCCCTTGGAATGGTTTTATTATCCAAAAGGTTAAAAGAATTGAATTGTTATCTCTCTTCCAAGCATGAGACACTGCAGGATCTGATATATGTTAAAGAAGCATTCTGTGCACCAGGATGAAATTAAAAATGATACCTTTGGAGTTCCGATTCCCTCTTTTGAATGAAATTCTCTGAACAATTCCCTCCAAGAGGAAGATTTAGATCCAAACTTCTGGTTTGATCAATTAAATGAGAAAAGATAATATCAAATCCAATTGGAGAAAATTGCTTATCATCATGAGCTGCAGCAATGTTTGATTCAATATATCCAAGTCCTTCAACAAAAGAGAATGTCCCAATTATTTCACTGCATAGGCTTCTTCAAATCAGACAAGCATCATATCTTATTCATATACATACATATATCAATACCTGCATTGATTTGTTGTTCACCAGCACCCCATTGCTTAAGTGCAACAACACAAGCCAATGATGATAGAAGGGAGTCTTTGGTCAACAACTCATCACGATTAGGAAGACCCCATGATCCATCCTTTTGTTGATTCTCTAATAACCATTTTAGGGACTTAGGGAATAAAGGAGTTTGCAGAGAAGAAGGTGATGGTATCATTGCCATCCAAGCTGTATCATAACAAGATACAGACAGTTCAACTTTATTAAGCATCTTCTTTATTCTCTCTTTATTCATCTCTGATACCTGCATTTAATGTAATTCACCATCTTATTATTATTATTGTTTTATAAATAATTGTTATATATTAGAATTAATTAGATCTACTTGGAGATACAAGAAATTGAAGGATGATATGTTATACATCATTGTTAGGTCTGCTCTGAACTTTGTCCTTTGCATTTGATCCATCTAAAGTTGCTGGTGGAAATGAAAGTACAAACAAGACATTAGGCTTCCTTAATGGTGATGCAAAAAAAAAAAAAAAAAAGCACACACAAACACCACTTACAGTGATCTTCTCAACTTGAAGATTAATTTAATTAATTCAAATTATATGCTTGTGCGAATGTGAAAAGAAGAGTCATTTCAGATATATATATCATGCATGCATCTAAATCCTGCAACAGTCAACATTTTCTGTATAACCATGAACAATTCGACTCATTTCAAATCCAGTAAAAACAACATGGGCCTAAAATCTACCTGGTCACCTAAGGGAGGGTTTTCATGATGATTTAACTTATAAATTATAAACAAGAATGTCTATAGCATGAATTTATTTTTTCATTTATTCCTACCTTTGATTTATTTGGGAATCAAAATATTACCCCCAGTAATAATTCAACGAAGATTTGGAAATGAAATATTTTTAAAACTTAAACGTATTAATTAAATCAATCATAAAAATACACTCCCTCCGGTCCTATATTCTAGTCCCTTTTAACAATTTCACCAAAACCATGGAGATGCATTGATTCAATCCCTCAAATTTAATTTTATCGATTTGATCCTTTATATTTTTTTTAAAATTATCATATAAGTTCTTGAAATTTTAAAACACAAATTAATTCTCGAAATAATCTAATTTGTAAATTAAAGTATTTTGATAACCTTACATGTATAATATGTAGTTAAATGAAAACAAATTAACCCTCAAATTAATTAATTTTTATTAATATATAATCACTTTCAATGTGTTTTATTCTCTTGTATTTTAAAATTTTAGAGCCTCTGTTTTTTTTGCCTAAATAATTATACTTTTTTTTCATTAATATACATAGCTACCATTAATATTCTATTATCCATGTCAATAAATTTTAATAGTATTACTTTTTTTTTAAACAATAAAGACGAAATTCATAATCAAAGTAAATTTAAGGGAGCAAATTGATAGAAATTAAATTTGTGGAATCAAATTGATAACTGAAACAAATCTAAAGGACTAAAAGTTGCATTATCCCTATTTAAATTACTGATGTTGTTTTAAAAAGAAGAAAATTCCTGATTTACCCTTACTAAATGAACTATTTTTAAAAAAAATCCCTTGCATATGAAAAATTATGGGTGTTAATTGTGGACAAGCTAGGATAAAACTAGGAAAAATAAATATTTTTTCATCAAATTTAGAAAAATAAATAAATTTTTAATTTTTAAAAAGCATGAAACATGTTGAAAGCATCCTAATTTATGAAACGAAATGAGTACAGTGGAGAGCGAGAACCTGGAGAAACCGAAGGAAGGAAGCGAGGGAGCCAGAGAGACATTGGTTGCCCACAAAATGCAGAAGGAATTTTTTTTCTTTCTGCGCAGCGTCTGGTGCTCTTCACACTCGTTTGTGTGTGTGTGTGTGTATATATATATATATATAGGACAGAGACACTCTAGATAATTAATTAAATATCCTATTTTTTGTTTTTGTCTTGTAATATTTTTTCTAATTAATCCCCCAATCATGATGGAGAAAGCAGCCTATTGTTGACTGATCTAATTTTCTTTTTCTTTTTTTTGGAATTGCATGATGCGTAATTTTTTCAATCTTGGGATGGGCATTCAAAGGGGGTGTGGAAAATATGGATGTAAGCATGCAATAACTGACTATCATGATGATACAATGTGTTTGGTGGTGACTGGTGAGATTGACTTGGTCAGCATTTAAATGAGTTTCCAGGCACCGCACTAGAAGTACAAATATCAATCTCGCGCTTGTAATTAATTCAGCTCATATCCTCGTAGTAATATAAGTCTATAATTGTGTGAAAATAAAATAAATTTCTAATTTTATTTATATTTAAATAAATAATTTAAATTCACATTACATTTTTTTATAATTAATTAGTTTAAATAAAGATAATATTAGATAAATGTAATACCTTATATTAAGGACTATCAATCAATCTCTTCTAAAAGATGTGTTATGGTAAGAAGAGAGAGGAGTATTTGGTATACAAAAAAGTGTTTATAAAATACATACTAAAATATTCAACAACTGCATTTCTCTCTCTGGTTTTTTTTTTTTCCCCTTTCTACTATCTGTGCATTATTTTGCTATCCCTTTCATCTTAATTTATAAGATAACTTTAGACAAAAATGCCATCATGTCAATAAAACTTAATAAATATTTTACAATATTATTTTTTTGAAAACAATAATATCATTTTTTAAAAGTACTCTTTATTTAATAACTTTAGAGAGAGAGAAGAATAAGAAGAAAAGGATAATATGAAAAAAATATTTAATGAAACATTATTTTTATACAATAATCTTATAACTTAAAAAAAAAACAGTCGTACGCACTGAATCACCTCTAAACTTGACTTATAAACAACAGGCACAAAGGGGTATTTTTCATGGTCCTCAAACCAATCAATGTATATGTACGCTTGTTCAGATAAGAGAAGCTTAGTATATTTATATATGACTCTGTAAATGGACTAAGGTAACACTTACCTTTTTTTTTTTTCTCTGCACTTTATGATAATATTAATACCTCTATTTATTTTCTGTTCACTAACACCGCATTACGTAAGTGGATTAATAGAAGCCAAGGTAGATTATGTACAGTAAAACATTTCATCACAGTGGAAAATATTTTCGTTTTATTTTATATATAGTTCAAAATACGGCCCTACAAGTTTGGAAGAAAAGCATGCTGCTTCCCGGAATTGTAGGTAGGTCTGGAAAGGACCTGACTATTATATAGGGCGGAGACCAAGTCAAAGGGGTTCTGGAAAATATCATGCAATGAACTGACTATTATAATGTTATAATATTTTTGGTGGCGACTGGTGAGATTGACTTGGTCAGCATTAAACAAGTTTCCAGGCACTGCACCGAAAATAAAAAGAGAGATTACATTCAGCTTCCGTCTAAGACAATTATATTAATCTGGCGGTTGTTATTAATTCAGTTCATATCCTCATGGAAAATCCAACCGTCTCATCCAAGCGGAACAAGTGGGTATAAGTCAATAGCTGTGTGAAAGTAAAGTAAATTAGACACTCCTTTAAAATTAAACTCTCTCTCTCCTTTTTTTTAAGTTGAGGGTGAAGTTTCCAAGGTTCTTTTTTTTTTTTAATTAGACTCTTTTTAAATTTTTACTCAGCTCATGATATTGGTACTTTCATTAAGACATTAGTGTTATAAAAAAAACTATCCACAAATCCTTCAGATTGGCAAGAGACAGAGTGAAATCTCATGCAATAGAACTGATAGGGACACCTCTTAATATATTAGTATTTTAAGATAAGCTTTTTTTTAAATTTGTGCTCATCATAATATACACACATACAATTTATATATACATATGTATTTTTTCTTTGTATGGAGATTTATTAATATTATGGTATTACTTTTCTTGATATATTATATGTCATAAATTGATTTTATTTTTATCACGAAAACTTTTAAGAATTAAAAAAATTCATTTAAACTTTGTTTAATAATGAATAAATTTTTATTTTTTATTTTAGCTGTTTTTCGAGACGAGACCAAACTCATTGTCAAACATGCAGGGTTGGCCTAATCCCAACTTGCTGCAAGAAGATCCGGCACCCGTGCGCGGTCTTTATACATTTCTGAATTAATCATAATATAAATTTAATTTATCATGAAATAAAGAAAAAATCACTTTCAGCTTCCTCTCAAAAGAATTAATCACAAATAAAAATCAATGTATAATGAATTATAATTAAAAAAAGAACATAATTTTTTTTTTAATGAGACTTGTTCTAAATGTTAGTGCAAAGTTTTAGTAAGATAAAATTCAATGTCATTTATTTTATTAAAATTTGACAACTATTTAAAAGTTATGTGTCTTAGTCTAGGCCATATCTATCAAGTTCTAGTGGTCATTAGAGTTTTATTTTGTCAATTGAGTCACATAGGGATTGAGCTCATTGAATTAGGGAGTCTATGATGGTGGAATGGATTCAAAACTTAAAGAATTCACTTGTTTGCTTATTTGAGTTATTTTTATTTTTCATTCATTTATTCAGGAAACCAAAAACACATTTCTTCTTGATTTTTGTCCAATCAATATTGATTTTAAGTTGTTGAATGATTTATGAATTGTCTTTAGTGACTTAAACTTGCCCTTTTAGAATTTTATGACCTAAGGTTTACTCAACTACATTCTAGTTTGTTTGAAAAGTTTGATATAACTAAGAGCTTTTTATGGGGCCCAATCAAAATGATAATGTAATAGTCCTTTGTTGATGTGTTATTTTTAATGAACGCCACATATTTTAAATTATTATGTGAGTAGCATCTTGAATCATAAACTTTAAAATTTAAAACAAATTACTTCTATCATTTATGTATAAAACGCTAACTATTATATAAATTAAATCAATGTCAATGTGGTCTGCTGTGATGAATGCATTATTGATCACAATGAATAACCCATAATTTTATGAAATAATGTTTTTGCCTCTTTTTTTTTTGTAATGTTTTTTAAATGATTAATATCTCATACTTTCATATATTCTATAACTCTAATTTTATCTTATTTTGAATAATATTTATTTATATAATGACAAAAATTTAGAATTTCATTTGAAAAGAAGTTTTAAATATCAAAGAATTTTACAAGTGATGGATGCGAAAGCCGACAATTTCATTAACAGATTTCAAACCCAAATTAATTAATTAATTAAAATTTTTTAAAATATAATTTATAAATAAAATTGAAGAAAGTACCTCTATTTAATTTAAAAAAATTTATGGGCAACTGTTGTATTTTTTAAAAATTTATTTAATTTTATTTATAAATTATGATGTAACTTTTTAAATAATATTTAAAAGATATTTTTAAAATTATTTTTTATGAAAAATAAAAAATAATATAATATTATTTTTAAATTTATCATATAAAAATATATTTAAAATTTTGTGCACTTTTATTTTTTATATTTTTTTATATTAAAATTAATAAAATTAATAAAAATAATTCATAAACAGAATCGGTGGAATGTATTTGAGTTTAAAAGAAGAATTAAGACAGTATTTTAATTTTTCTTTTTATTAGTTTTACATTTTGTATCCCGCTGATTCAGGATCCTGTGCGTCCACTCCCGCGTATTGCTGTCTAGCGAGGCACTAGTGTTGATTGGTAGTTGAGGTGACAGCTATGGTAACGATGATTGGTTGTTTCACAAACTGGAAAATTGTTTTATAAATTATTCTCCAGAATCTCACCAATATTAATATAAAAATTAAAAATATGTAAAATTTTAAATCTATAATTTTAGAAATTAAAAAATAATATAATATTATTTTTTAAGAAAGATAATTTTATAAATATTATTTAAAAAATTATATCATATTTATAAATAAAATTAAATACTAGATCTTTTAAAATGTTATTAAATAGGGCATTTTGAACAGGACATTTGACTGACTTGGCTTTTGGAACGGGACATTTGAGGCCCTGAGCACTTAAATCATGAAATTGACTGACTTGGCATTTTGAACGGGACATTTGAGTACCTCGGCACTTTCAATTTGACTGATCATATAAATAATTCAAAACCTCGATTCAAATGTCGTCTAAAATAATCAAATTCACAGCCCATCATAAATTGATCAAGGAAATTAAACAACGTTTATTTTAAAAAAATTATAAAATTCACAAATTTCATACAACTCATTCAATATTTTCAGGATTGAAGCCTGAAGGGGATCGCAATTGAACACCTTCAACTTGACTAACCAATTAATTAATTAGTTAATTCAAAACTGAAACTGCCCAGGTTTCAGATTCAATCAGTGTTTAAAGCATCCGTCTTACTATAAAAAATAATCAATTCAAGACTCCATCAATGTGGATTTACCCATAATTTATATGGTGTGAGTTTAAATGTCGCTCCAAAGTTTTAGACCCTGTGGTAAGCAACCTATAAATATTTTTATAAGTGTACTTTGAATTTACAAGCATATCCTGATGATTTTAATAACTTCTTAAAGCTCAACTCACCTAATATTTATTTTTTAAAAAGAAAAAAATACAATATTTAATCTTTATAGTTTTATTGAATTTTTTTAGTTTATGTAATTTTTTAAATATTTTTAGTTTTTATAATTTTTAAAAAATTGAGTAACTTTTAGTTTTTAGATCTTTATAGTTTTTATTTTTTAATAATTTTAATCCATATAAAAATAAAAAATATTAAAAAAATATATGAATTAAACTCAATAAAATTATATGAATTAAAGATTATGTTTTCAAAAAACAAGTACTCCATCCATTTGATCAAGACGTTATGACTTGTGAGGCTCTTTTTTTTGAAAATATGAACACGTCTAGTAAAAGA